TACTTTTCGATTTTTCGTTGTTTACGTTTTTCGTCGCGGCTGCGCGTCCGGACCGCTTAACTGTTTCAACAACAACAAGCCAGCACCGTCAGGAACTCCACCTCGAAGCGCCGCCGAAGGCGACAGCTTCCAAAGAGCTAGCCGCAGCTTTGAAAGCCGAGGTCACCTTTTTTGCGTGGTGGAGGAGGTGGGGCCGGTGGGGCTGGAGGGTGGGCAGCTCATCGCGAAGGATGTCAGCGCCATCGAGAGCGTCCTGGCTTCTTGCTGCTCCGCCCTGAACTCGGTGCAGAAGAGCAGGGCTCGGCAGAAGCTAGCTCTTTTGGCCAAGTGGGCATGCGCGATATAATCCAAGATTGGCGGCAATTCATGCGGTCTTTCTGTCAAAATCGTAGCCTGCTGTGGTGCAGTCACAAGCTGCGCCTACTCGTGGATTTAGGACTTTGCTTTCGGTCCCTGGGTGGAATTAGATGTGCTGGGCGCGCATCGAGCTACATCCCAACATCCTAACCAAAAACCCTAAACGCTAGACCTTATTTCGTCGACAACCTTAAAAAGGCAATGACGGCCACGAACCGGCCAAAGCACGCCAATGCCATCCAGGATCATGTCGAAGTCTCTGTATGTCTTGCACCTGGTGTTCGTGGAATCAGGGATCAGTACATGGCGGAAGCTGCGGCCAGCAGCATGAGGCCCCCTGAGCCAAATGGACCTCCTCCAGGTAGAGGACCGCCCGATTCAAGAAGGCCTCTTCAACGCTGGAACAATGCCAATCAATGGGCCGACGCCAAGCGGAAAGGCAAGGAAACCGCCGATCCTGAGGGCCGTGAACGTGGTCGAGGCTATTTTCGCCGGTGGTATCGTGAATACTCCCCATCGGCTCAATTCACACCGCGGCAGAGGCATCATGAATGTGTTCTTCATCACAATGCCGACTTTTTCGGTGACTGTCTGATCCTGACTCGCGATGTCATTTTTTCCAGGGGATCGTCACTGACGTAGCGAAGTGTCACGACGTTTCTAATTGGGGATATCACGGCTCGAAATCACGCATAATACGAAGTTGAAGCGGGTAAGGCCCTTTTTCATTTCTGTCGCAACTCTCTTCCTATGTGAGTATGACCGAAGGTCTCACTCATCCGGGGTGCGAACAGTCCTCGATGCCTCGTACAATTCGTTGTTGTCACGTCCTGAACGGTAATTGAGCTATGAGCAATGACGTAGCTGGTCCAACTTTTAGACAGTTACGGAAGCAGTAACACAGCGTGCCTGCATCGCAGAAAGCTGCAGGCCAGCTGTCTTCCTACTGAGTGCACCGCCAACATCGTGGCTCAAGAACGAGCTCCCATGCTCGACATTCTGCTAGCAAGCCAGAACTCACCTTACGTTCCTAGAGCGTTCGAGCCATCCCTCTTGCACAGACCTTGGACAGTCTGGGCCTGGCGCCAAAAAGGAAGCGCAAGTGGACGTTTGCAAGGGAGTTGGTAAACGGTGGTACGACTGCGTCTCGAACTACATCACTACATCTAAGTTGGCGACTACCATCAATCTCTGTGAGGTGAGCACACGAGGAATTTACCAACTTCAAACCCTCACGCAAAAGACCTATCAAGTCTAATACCTCGAGGCCCACGTTTCGTGTGCGCCATGTTTTGTATCAACCAGTTGAATAAAGAATTGAAGTTCCAGGGCCTGTTAACTGTTAACCACTACACATTTGGCTTCCACAAATACATTTATTCCCCACATCACTGTGGGGTTTTTGTTCCCCACATCATTGTGGGTTTCTGTTTTTGTGGAACGCACCGTCCTCACCTCATCATCATCATCACCAGCATAATCATCATCATCACCATCACCCTCCCTCACCCTCCCGCACCACACACAAGACCCCTAACAACATGCACATACTTACACAACACATACACAACAAGCACGCACAGACACACGCGCGCACACGCACACACACACAACACACACACACACACCCACACACACCCACACACACCCACACCACACCACACACACGCACACAACACACACAGAACCACACGACACACACACACACAACACTTCACAACAAACAAACAAACACACACACACACACACGCATGCACCGCACATAACACACAGACAACACACACCTCGGGAGGACTTTGAACGCGAGTAAACGCTCTCTTTAAAGGGCTCTGCGGGATGAAACACGCGCGTTGGACCAAACTCGTTTGGAAGACTGCAAACGCGACTAAACGCTCTCTCCGGAGGGCTCTGCGGGAAGAAGCGCGCGCCTGGGACCAAACTCGTCTGGAAGACTGAAAACCGGCTTATAAACGCTCTCTCTATAGAGGCTCTGCAGGAAGAAAAACGCGCGCGTGGGACCAAATCGTTTGGAAGACTGTAAACGCGACTAAACGCTCTCTCTATAGCGGGATGAAGCGCGCGCGTGGGACCAAATCGTCTGGAAGACTGATTAAACGCTCTCTCTAGAGGGCTCTGCGGGAAGAAACGTGCACGTGGGGTGTTGTGTGTGTGTTTGTATGTTGTGTTTGTATGTAATGCTCTGTCAGTTTGTGAGGATGAGGATGGTGGTGGTGAGGATGGGGAGGATGGTGACGAGGAGCGTGGGCACCGGCGCGACAGAAAAATTAAAGGACCGGATAACTCCACCTGACATCTTTACTCGTGTGCCAACTGTGTGATGTGAACGCGCGTCTGGAAGACTGTAAATGCCACGCCGCGGGATGAAACAAGCGCTTGGAACCCCCCGCCCTCTGGAATACTGTGTAAACGCCACTAAGCGCTGACTCTACAGAGGGCTCATCGGGATGAAACACGCGCTTGGGACCCCTCCCTGCTGGAAGACTGTAAACGCCACCAAACTCTGACGCTAGAGGGCTCATGCCGGATGACACGCGCGCTTGGGACCCCCCCTCTGGAAGACTGTAACACAACACACACACACACACAACACACACACACACACAACACACACACAACACACAACACACACAACACACACACAACACACACACAACACACACAGCACACACAACACACACACACAACACACACACACACACAACACACCCAAAACACGCAACACACGCAACACACACAACACACAACCCCCCTTGCAAGACTCTAAACGCCACTCGGGGAGGACTCTAAAGGGCTCTGGTGGAGGCGGCACGCTTGCGCCCTCCCGCTCTGGAAGACTCTAAACGCCACTGGGGGATGACTGTAAAGGGCTCTGGGGGATGCGATGCGCGCGCGTGGGACCCACCCCCCTTCTTGGAAGATTCTAAACGCCACTAAATGCCACTGGGGGACCGCACAGACATGCACAACACTACACACAGCACGCAGCGCACAGCTTTCACTACGCCGCACAAACATGCACAACACAGCTTTGGGCATTGGGCACACGCACATGCACACACACAATACAAAATACAACGCACAACACACACACACACAACACAGCATACACAACACGCAAACACAACACACACACACACAACACACACACACAACACACACACACAACACACACACACACAACGCATACACACGCACAACACACACACACAACACGCACACACACACAGAACGCACACAAACCACACAACACACACACAACACACAACACACGGCACACAGCACACATCACAGCTCACACAAAACCACACACAACACAAGACACAACACGCGCACTGCACACACAACACCGCGCGCACTCCTCTAAAAGGCTCTAGAGGGCACATCCACTCGTTCACCACCATCCACAGACATACTCACGTGGGGTTCCTTTAATTCTTATACTAACGGTTTAGGAAATGCAGCAAAATGCCTAGTTGACATATACATATTATATCGAGTAGAATATCTCGGTGTTATGATTTAGTGTTGAATTTCCAGGGTCCATTAACTGCTACAGATATGACTTGAGATTAATACAGTATAGAACCTGGGAAGTGTACATGTTTGAATAAGATCCAAAATAGCCTGAGGATGTCTCGCTACAACAAAGTGTATTCATGGAGTGCCTTGCCAGGTAACACGCATGAACAGACAGTAGATTGTATTTTTGAATAACTGAGAGTCATATTACTACACTCACGGGTAATGACATACTTATGGAGTACTCACTACTGAAACATTAGTTATTATGCTGGTAACTAGATAATCGGGTACACTGACTCGTCGGAGCAATTCCGGCACAGTACTTGTGGAGCTAACAATAGTCAGACTTAAGTAAAATATTAGCATAAGAAAATTTGTCGTCTGCCAATTAATAGAAACACATAGCATACAGATTCACAGTAGTGTCTCTAGGGAAAACAAAACGTATTTTATTAGTTGTAGAAGCAACACATATTCTTTTCACAACTACGCAGGTAATTAACCGGGTAGACTAAAACCTGGGGCCTATTCAGGGGGAGCGTTGCTTGACTAATACCAAATCAAACTTAAATCTGACAATAATATAGTTCATTTAGCAGTTTTTCAATAATTGGACCGAACAGGCAGTGATTTTACAATGATTACTAAGTATAGTCACGTTACTGCGATCAGGCATACTGACATCATACATTCATGCATAGGCTGCTAGTAAATATGTGATTTCGATATCTCAGTACCTAGTTAGATAGATCGAACACTCGAGTATATTCACGGTATTCCATCTAATATCACTACCGGAGTAAAAACTGCACT